AAAATTGCGTTATATTTGTTAAATATTAATGTTTGACAATTGTTACTTAAATAAAAAAGCTCCTTATAAAATTCTCCACAGAATTGATATATCACATGTTTATATTTATTATTATAAAATAAACTGATAAAAGTGGTCATTGAGGTCAAATAAGGTAATATTTGCTAAGCTGGCAATTTGGGATCTGCAATTTAATATAAAAGTACTCTTTATAAGAAGTCAAAATATCATTTAGTGTGTTCTGGGACTTCCGGTTCGGCTGGAGTGACCACTTTTATCGGTTTATTCTATCATAATAAATATAAATATGTGATATGTCAATTTTGTGAAGAATTTTACAAGGAACTCGAATAGATAAGTAACAATTATGAAACATTAAAATTTAACAAATATAACGTTATTATAAAGATTTTAAAGCGATTTTTAAACAATTGTTGGGTTAAAATGACGTTATTTATTAATTTAATTAATATCACCGTATTCTACGTAAAATTCTCTATAAAATTGATATATCATATTGACATTTTATATAAAATATTTCCCGATAAATTTGGTCACTGCGGCCGAACCAGAGGTTATAGAACAATATAAATTACATATTCTGACTCAACATTGAATGGTCGTTCATATACAATCAAAAAATCCCGATTGCCAGTTAGCCAATTCTGTATTGTATTATGACAGTGTTCTTTAATTTAATTAATATCATCGTATTCTATGTAAAATTCTCTATAAAATTGATATATCACATGTTGACATTTTATATAAAATATTTCCCGATAAATGTGGTCACTGCGGCCGAACCAGAGGTTATAGAACAATATAAATTACATATTCTGACTCAACATTGAATGGTCGTTCATATACAATCAAAAAATCCCGATTGCCGGTTAGCCAATTCTGTATTGTATTATGACAGTGTTCTTATATAAATTGTTTATTATTTGAAAACTCTCGCAATGCTATTCAATGGGAAAACTTAAATATTTTGGTGACAACCCAATCGCGAAGTCGGATGAACTCGCACTTTAGATAGCAAGGTAGATAGCAAGGTAGATAGCAAGGTAGATAGCAAGGTAGATAGCAAGGTAGATAGCAAGGTAGATAGCAAGGTCACTTTCATTCTTATTCAACGTTTAGAACACTAAAATTTTGCTAGTTTAGTCCAGTTTGGTTTGGTTTGGTTTGTCGATTCATTGAAAATTGTTTTTTAATTTCTAGGCTATCGGTGCCCTCAATACCTGTTGCCAACCATTTTCTTGCAACCGATCGGTTGTTTAGTTTATTATTTTTAAATTATTGATTCTATTTTCAACTGTAAATGAGCTTGCAATAATTGTCAAATTATTTTTAAGCAATAATACAGTCGTATCATACAATATGAATATTAAAACCCGGATCACATAATATTGCTGATATGATCATAATTGAAATGATTATAAATATACATAAGTGCGACACTTCTAGTAGCAAACAGTTTTAAACAGGCATTAAGATTATACACTACCATTAATTTAATTAAAATGTCCGTTTCATACGATTTCAAAGGCAACCTATCAGACAAATAATCCTATCATAAACTTAATAGATACAGTACAGATCAGCCAGTTCCACGTATTACAAATTTTTACAACTAGTGTGTAGACCATTGAGTGCCAAAAGTTAAAATCACCAAAAATTAGGGATGATATACTCATAGTCTAATCACCTATACTTGATAAACTTATAAATTTTTAATGCCTTAGTTATTTCATGGGGCCACCACATGTGAACACAATTTGATCAGTTAAAACTTAAATATTTTCTCAAAATGTCTCAATTAATGACATTAAATATTAACAATCAATAAGTTTTTCGTGTAAATATTGCTTATTAAGTATTTTAGACCAAACCAGATAACATTTTAAGGGGTTATATGTTAAAAATCTCGGGAAAATTATTTAATATTGATAACGGGTATTTCAGGTGACCAGAGTAAGATAGCGTTATTTATATGAAATATATCGATGCTATTCAGTGCTCTATAAAGTGTTATAACATATGAAATGTTTTGTTTTAAAATATTGTTTGTTTTATAATTAATTTTTAATTAAGTAAATCGTTAAGATTAATCTGGACCAAGCTCTGTATAGCATATATTATATACAGTAATTAAATTCAAATGAGATAAAAACATATTTGTAGTAACCTTTATAGTACAGTAGGATCATGGTAGAATTAAACTAAAAACATTTCCCATAGAAACAACGCTAGTTTTAAAACTATAATAGAATGCTGAAAAATGACAAAATATTACCTTGTCCAATAGGTGATATTTAAAATTTTAAAAATCATTGCATATTACTCAATAGAATTTTGAAAACTATTACAGAACTTTCTAGAAAATATTGTTTGTGCTAGAATAAATTTAAAAATCATTATCATATTTTAAAAACTATTGTTTTAACCAAAACTCTATATTCATATAAAGTTTAAGGCATTTATACTTTAGACTAAAATCATGACGACTTCCAGAGATTTCACGGGCAAAGTGGTGCTGATCACCGGCTCGAGCGGTGGTATCGGTGCTGTCACTGCAGTAGAGTTCGCTCGACTCGGGGCTCAAGTGGTGGTCACCGGTCGCGGGAAGGATAGGGTGTCCGCTGTGGCCAAACGGTGCACTGAGGCGTCGCCTACCGGTGCTAAAGCCCTGGAAGTGGTGGCGGATGTCACCAACGATGACGACTGTCACCGATTAGTGACCGACACTATCAAGACGTTCAAAAAGTTGGACATTTTAGTCAACAACGCGGGTAGAAGTATAAAGTCGAGCATATGGGACGAGGATGTCCTCGATAAGTATGAGCTCAATATGAACACAAACCTCCGGTCAGTCGTATGGTTGACTCACTTATGTGTCGAGCATTTGGAGAAAACTAAGGGTAATATCGTTAACGTGTCGAGCGTTGCGTCCTTTAAACCGGTAATTATTTATAATACATTTATTTGATTGATATTTATTTTTATATTTTCTGGTCATTCAATAAGTGTGAACTAAAAAATCCATTAAAAAGGTTCAATGCTTTTATTATCAATTCATCTTTTGCATAGTTACTTATTGAACTATCTATTATAGTATCGTATTAATGATTTATTTATCAGGGTGCAAGTATCTCGTGTTATAGTATGTCAAAGTGTGCCATTAATACGTTCACTAAATGTATGGCAGTGGAGTTGGCACCCAAAAAGATCCGGGTCAATGCAGTATGGTATGTTTAATAAATAAATATTAGAGCAAGTTTGTTATATTTATTAAAAAAGTTTTATATTATTTACACTTGAAATTTAGCAAGCTAATGTACACAAAACTATTGGAATATATTATAATTAATCTTTAGCATATATAACTTTCAAAAATAGCCCCGCTACAATTCATACGCCCGCTTTTGAAGCAATATTTAATGTGACCGGGGACAGGCTCGAGGCTTTTAAACAACGTTTGGCGGTTAAGTACCCGATCGGTCGAATCGGTGAACCATCGGACGTGGCCAATGCCGTAGTGCACCTGGCCAGTGAGCATGCTACATTTATAACTGGCGCGTATATGTTGGTCGATGGTGGTTACCTTACAGGGAGTGTAAAAATGAGGACTTGAAAACCCGCATAACCCGCAAAATCAAATCTAGTATAAATATATGCAATACTAATAAGCAATTCAATGTACAGAGTGTTAAAAAATAACTAAACAATTTTATTCAAATGATCTAATTTCCAAATCATTTAGATAAAATTACGTAATGAGATCGTCAGATGAAAACTAAATTAACTCAATTGTTAACTGAATTAAGCACTTAGTGATCAAAATTATGAAATAGCTGAAACTAAATTAAAAACTTGATAAAGGCAACAATTTAGTTCATAAATTAGTTAATATAGTTACAAATTAACTAATTTTTGTTAATAAATTGCTTAATTTAATTTATAATTTAGTTAATTAAGTCAACAATTTAGTTGATATTGTTCACAATTAGCTAATTTCGTTAAATAATTGCTTAATATAGTTCAAGTGTTTAATTTAATTTACTTTCGTCTATTTCATAATTTAGTTCACTAATTGCTTAATTAAGTTAACAAATCAAGCAATTTGTTAACAAGATTATCAATTACAATATTGTTGATTAATATGGAGTTTAGTTATTATTTAATATTTCTAAAGCAAATATTAGTTATTAAAAGTGTTATTGTTAATAAACTAGCGTTAACCAAGTAAAATATTTTAATAAAATATTATTGAAGTTATAAATATCCTAATAAATATAATATTTTTCGATATAAACTAGTGTGCTACTATAATTGAAATGAAATATCAAGTGATTATTTAACAATAATCACAATTTATAACTTGATTATACTGAAACAATAGGCAATTACAATAAATGATCTTTGCCAAATATCGTTGTTTTAGATTACACACGTTTCTCAATACGTACATTCGTACGCTTAGGGGCGCCTATACGCAACATACGTTTATACTGCACCGGGACGTCCGTTTCCGGACAGATCGAGAACCGGTAGTTCTTAATCTTATGGGCCAACCCTAGCTTAACCTCCAGCAACGAGAACCGCATACCAATGCAATTGCGAGGGCCGGCGCCAAAGGGAAGGTAGGTATAGGGCAGTACCTTATAGCGATTCTCGGGCATAATTGGATCCGGGTCAAACTTAAAAGGTTCAGGGTAAAACTCTTCGCAATGGTGTATGGCGTATATGGGGATGTCTATGTTTTGACCGACCGTCACCTTAACCCCGGGTGAGTGCATACGCAGGGTCTCCGACACGACGGCATCCAAATAGGGTAGTCGTGCCAACACGTCGTACTCCATCTCACCGTTTGAATGAAACGCGGCGACCACCTCGTCGTGTAGGCGCTGCTGAATACCGGGGCTTCGGATCAGTTCGTACGTACAGAAGGATAGGGTGGTGGCGGACGTCTCAGGCCGGTTAGGCCAAGAAAAACATGAACGCCTGGGCGACGATCTCGTTTTCGGTCAGCTGTTTGGCGCCCGATTTAGGGTCGTCCCGGGTTAGGGCTTTCCGCTCCACCTCCAGTTCCTCGGCTCCTAATTTTAATGTTAGTTTAAATGTTTTTATTATACACATATTAAACATGGTACATAGTATTCAAATGCTTATACAAATCTTATTAAGTCAATTTATTTGTAAATAGGTATCATTCAATTATTGTTTATTTATGCAAAATTAGTTAATTGTCTGCTATATTAAGCTAGCATAGTTTATTGGTAACTTAATGAAAGTGTTAATAATGTTATGTTGAAATAAATATAACATCTATTAAATATAAAAATATCAAGATCATCTTAATAGAGGTATTGTCATTAAATTTAATTAAAATTAAATTCACTTTTAGTTTTTGAAAAAGTGCTTAGGGGTGATTCACATACACCTGAACCTCCAGTACGTAAAGTCGTCGGGACCGGAGGTTTTGATCAAGTCATAGAGGGATTCGAGTTACAGAGTTTGAGTTCCATAAATAAAAGAACATTGTCAAAATTAGCCTAATTTGGCAATTGGCAAATTATCATTGTTTCTTATAGAACTCTAGAGGAAGGTTCTAGATGACTAATTATTTATGGTCTGTGGTCTCGAGTTCGGTCTAAGTGACCTGTTACCTTGATCAATTTCTATATTATATATACAGTATATGGACATTTTTATCGGTAATAGATAATTTTACACAGAATATAAAGGCATAAGTTTATCATAATTAAATTTTAATTGACATCACTATAAGTTATAAATCATATAGTATTTTACAATAAATAAGAACTTTTGATACAATAATAAAACTTTTGAAAACTCAAGATTTTAAAGTGAATTTTTAAGATTTTATACACTAGCTTGCATTATTGACATAAATCCTTATATTTCTTTTTAATCTATTTTAATCCTTAGATTTGAATTTATACCACCATATTCTGTGTAAATTATCTACTTAACCGACATATCACATCAATAAATATAATATAAAAGATTCCCGATAAAAGTGGTCACTGCGACCAACGGCCAAAAACAGTATAAATTAGATATTCATATTTATAGTTGAAAGTTCTATAAGAATCAATCAAAATATCCCATGAGTTAGCTTAGGATAAATTAATATAGCAATTAGGCAAGGTTCTTTTATTTGTTGTCAAATAAATTCGAGTTTGAGAAGTGCTGTAAGTAGTGTTTGGGACCAAAATATATATTTCCGTATCGGAATATAGAGGTTCGAGTTGTGGAGGTTTTTTATAATGGGGTTCTATGAGAATGAATCGGGTCTTAGGAATTGGTTTCACTATTAAAGGGATTTCCATATCAGAGGGATGAAGTTGTAGAATATGAAGTGTATTACGTTCGCACTTAAATAATAAAAGGATTCATTTTTATCAAAGTTAATATTTTAAAAACAACTGTTTGATAACTTTGAATGAATAAATGAACTTTGAATAGATTTATTTCCTGTTTATGAACGATATTTTGAAAGTGAAAATGATTTTTTAAAACATCACAAGTATCACAATTGAAATCATACTATCGCCGACAACATGACCACCTAGAGCACTATTCTTAAAATTATTATCTATACTATGTTTATATTTAATGATTTAGTTTAATTTTAAATAAATTATTTATAAATTTAATTGAATTTGATTTCTTAGGGGAGGGGGGGTTAAGCACATGCGAACGTAATTTTAATTGAACATGGCGACA